GATAGAGGTCAGGAGGGTACGATGGAAGCTAAATGTCAGGGATGGGCGTGGCTTACATCAAAGTGGGCGGAGTTTGCAATTAGGCTTATAACTCGGTTCCTAGGAGTCCCGGAGTCCGGGAAAAAAGCGTATGAGGGTTGGCAGAGGGAAAGGGGTCAACCGTTGTTGGCGGGCGGAGCATGCACCAAAGTGGGCGGGGTTTGCCACGGTACTTCATAACTCGGTTCCAATAAGTTCCAGAGATGGGAGAAAAGTAGAAAAAGGTTGGGGAAGAGATGATAGCCGACTGATATCAGTGGGCGACCACACGCACCAAAGTGGGCCGGGGTTCTTGTGTTATCTGTCGTTATGTCTTTTTGTGTTTTTGCCACAAAGATACGTAGCTCGATTTCGTCCCCTACAAGACCTCATAATTCGGCTCCGAGATGACTTAGAGACCTGAAAAAAATACGCCAGAGGTGAAAGTAGGAGTAGAGGTTGAATGTGAACGCTGGGCGTGGCACACCCGGATGTGGGCGGAGTTTGCCACCGCTCTCATAACTCGGTTCCTAGAAGTTCCGGCGACCGGGGAAAATGTGCATAAGTATTGAGGTATGGAGTAGGGTTGAATGCCATTGTTGGGCTAACCATGCACCAAAGTGGGCGGGGTCTGCCTCAGAAATTCGTGACTCATAACGCCATTTACAAGACCTCATAATTCGGCTCCGAGATGACTTAGAGACCTGAAAAAAATACGCCAGAGGTGAAAGGAGTAGGAGTAGAGGTTGAATGTGAACGCTGGGCGTGGCACACCCGGATGTGGGCGGAGTTTGCGGCGTAAGTAAGATGTACCGAGCAGAAAGCTAAAATCAAGACAAAAATACTGATGGGCCCGATTTTACCGCTGCAGCCCCGTCTCATGCACGCGAATGCGTGCGCAGCCAAACTGGTGTTATAAAGATAATAAAGTCGGAAATTGTCGTTACATTGCAGCCAAAAAGGTATCCATAGTTCAAAACAAACACTTTTCAAAAAGCCTGAAAGGGCCGGGAAACGATCATTCCGTCTTTGAAAAGAGGATGACATTACCAAGAATCACAATTACTAACCTCAGCCAATTGAAGTGAACATCTCAACTCAAAAAGTGAATCCTCTGCTAAAAGAGAACCAATAATAGGGCAGTCAGGCTTCAGAATCTCGAAACACCGGCAAAACCTTAAAATGCAAATAAAGATCTCTTGAAACCGAAGAAAAAAAAATAGTAATAGAAATATTTGCATATCATTTCCACCACTGTTCATTCCACGTACCACTTGAGGTAGATTCATTAATCCAACTGCTGAGACAGAATGAAGGATAGCAATGAGATCGTCAATGGATTCTCGGTTTGAAAGGCTCTAATTTCTCCTCATCACACACTACGCGTTCTATCTTCACCTAAACACATGCTGCCTTTTTGAGCGATCAAAACTCACCAATTCTTTATTGTCATATATCGAGTTGCGGTTTTGACACTTTGGTATATCGTACCTCAGGGCTTGGAAAAGTAGCAAAGGACTAATTTACTATCCAGAACCCATAGCAAAACTGTAAGAAAACCACGAAAAAGGTAGTTAGTATAGAAACGGCCAGCTCTCCCGAATGTCGAGCAGAAGGCTTACCTCCTCTGAAGCCAGCTACAACCAAGAAATAAGGTCGTGATTCACTTATGTGGCTTACCTTACCCACTACATTTCAGAAAGAAGCAATATTTGTGGTCGTTACAACTGAAGTATTCTGTAAGGTACTGAATCAAAAAGGAGTAGGCCCTCTGCTAGGCTCATTAGAGGAAAATTGATAGTGTACTAGAATAATCGGCGTTTGTTTGAGACTACCAAATAAGCAACTAAGTGGATAATTCAATAAAATTCTCATAAGAGCTCCTAGCAACAACTCAATATTTAGGCAGAATAGAAACAACTATACGTATAGTTGCAATTTTCCTGCAAATAACCTACTTCACTGTCGTTGGCTCCATTGCTCTTATTGACCATCTCTTCACTCATATCGCATTGTATAAGTGTGCCTACATTTTCCTTTATCATATGTGGAGCGATGTGACCAACACCACAGCCAATATCCAACGCCAGCGGATTGAACTTTGTCAAGTCGAATACCTACACGATGTCGTTGACACAAAATAGCGCATTGCACTCCAAACTTTACTAAGACTGTAGATTTTTTCAATCCAAAAGTTTATGGCTCGACAGCTCATACTTACCCTATCTGCTACTCTCCAACCAATCTCCTCTTTAAGATATTGTGCATCTTCGAAGTTCGGCTGTCTAACCGCCCAGTCTCGTTGTTTTCTTTTTAGCTGCCGATCAAATACCTGCAATAATTGACGTGTCTTTTGATGTTATGAAATAGGGTGAAAACAGGACTAGAGCTCATGCGTATGCTTTCCAAGCGCTGTTCTTTCCATGGCATTGCAAGAGCTTCCCATAACTTATCACAGCCTGTCGCTACTGTCACCTATTGTGTGAGGGCTGGAAGAGATGGACAGGTTAGTAGCGAAAGAGTAGTTCAACCACTTCTTCTTATACGCAGGGTGAGGAGGGGGTTAGAAGGTCCCTCGACGCCATTTCACCAATAAAGCGCCCACTCATTCATGCCTCTCAACCACCGCGGCCCATACCCTTGAAGGCATGTCCCAGGAAGAATTTGATCGAAATGAAAGCGAGGTGCGAAATTGGCTGATAGTGAAGAGAGGGAAACCTCAAAGCTCTTTATCATTGTCAAGGTTACTAAAAATTTTATGGGACTAACTTTCTTTCGCATTCTGAAAATGACTAATGAAAACAAAGAATGATCTGCAACCAACCACATGTTTAGCAGGCGCTTCCGCCGTCGCGCTGCTGGCCTCAGCTGCTATAAAACGAACCGCCGATGAGCTCGCGCATGGTAAGCAACGTAGAAGACGACGGAAAACCATACAATTATATAAATCTAAAACAAAAGTGAAATTCATGTAGCGAGGTTAACATAATATGCCACAATTCCGCCCTCACTTACAAGACCTCGATTACGGTGGCCAAGTTCTTTCTAGGGTTCTGTCTATATGACTGAACATTATTTTTTGGCTAAATGGCCGGTCTAACCCTTAACCCCTTAAAAAATTTGTTTACGACACGAATGAGTAATGGAGGGCAAGTCACAATCTCAACGGAATTCAATCAGACTTCCTCAGGCATCCTCGAAAGAAATATCTATAACCATCATTACTAGCTGTACAGTCAGGTGTCAGTAACCTTGAATGCGGTCACACAAATATTACAAAGTTTCATTAGATATCAAACCAAAGTAAAAAATCTCAAATAACATTAATTAATAAAACTCTGCGTACCAGTCTACAAAATACGAATCCTGCAACTGAAAGAACCACAACCCAAAAAGTATCACAACAACGGAACGAAAGTCTAATGTCACCAGTGAGCAGACAATAATCTTTCTACTTATCTCATCTGAGAAAAATTCATGGAAATATCGAAATATAAAAAGGAAAAAAGTACTGAATCAAAATATTCAATTACCAACTTAACAACACACATTTCGCTGATCTCAAATAAATAAAAAGTGAACAAATGAGAAACCTGTAGGATTTATAGACTAGAAGGCAGACAGCTAAAGCGCGGTGATAACCGTCACTGCGGCTAATCTGTATGTTTCGAGAGCAATTCGAAACCACACAATGAATCCGAGAAAGGGATTGAGGGGTCTGATGGTCATAGTGTTCTTCTGTCACCTTTTCACGTGGTTTGCGCCGCCCGTTATTCTCATATACTGGTGACCACCCACCAGACACCAAAAGAGGTCAACTCGTGGAACATTCCATTGAGTTTAAATGAAATCAACGGGAAGCACCAGCCAACTGCAGGAGCAGATCCTTTCCTTATGGCCTCATTCTCCCCAGACTGAAGCGCTAGCCCTTTCACGGTCAATCAGAATTGCTCCACATCTGTTCAGTCCGGCAGAGGGTGTTCTCGAGAACGATGCCGTAGATCCAAAAGGCTCGAAAATTAGATGCAGTGATTGAGTGAAGACAGAGGTAAAGCACACAAAGCAGGCGATTCTGAATTTTAACTTCACAAGAAAGGAAGTTTTCAGAGGAAAACCACGTTATCAGAATAGCTTATCTTAGACGAATTTGGTGGTTCCGACACGAAACCAGCTTGAATACAAGGAATGATAAGTTCAAGCAGTCTTTCCCTTGGGCTTAGGCTGTTCAATACGGTTCACAATCAAGTACACAATAATACCAGTATGATAAATATGGAGGAAAAGTGATGAAAGCACAGTTGACGGGTACACGTTCCAACAAATTTCTATTCCGATGAGAACGGCCGTCCTAGAATATGTCATTTACGAGAGTAAATAGCTCACGAAGTGCCCAAACTTCAGGACTGTAAATATTCAAACTCGAACAGGCTTCAGGCCATTCCTGTGTTACCAAAATGTGTAGTCCAGGCTTTAAGCTCTAAAGACCCTTCAACAAAACATTGCGTGAACCCTGCTGACCTGATTAGCAGTCTCACCTCTGATTGCATAAAAATCAAACAAATCCAAACTCACTTGATTAAAATAGATAGCCAGGGCACGACGACAGGTTGCTTGCCATCTACCACGCCATGGGAATTCCAGAACAGTAAAAATGGCAGCTGGTGGTAGTACCAGCTATAAAACTGGTAGTGTAGAGAGCGCGCAAATGTAATACCAATTAAGTTGGCAGAAAATAGTGCAAACAATGTTTCTGAAATTTCGGATTAGTATAAGAAGAAGCAAAAACTGATCTGATAAAAAACAGCACAGTGATCACCTCCCACTCCCACTTTTGTTAGGACACCATGATAAACGTCCATGGCTAAAGCCCGAATACCTCCATGTGACCTAAATGTGGAAGATATCTTAAGGGGAAAGAAACACGGCATCCATGGCGTAAATAGATAATGGAACGACAAAATCAACCTGAACCACATACGATATCCAAACACCATTAAAACCACAAGGTGAAATGAGAGCAGCGCTAAGTGAAGCCGTGGAGAGAGAAACACCTGAAATAGCGATTGGAGAGAGAACGCACACTTGAAATAAAAGTTCACTCAATCCAAGAATTTTCTACGCCCCTTTCGTTATTTAGGATTTGTTGATACCGGCCGTAGTTCTTAGATCAGTAAAAGCTAACCACCTTGACAATCACCCACCTCTTCCGGAAGAAAACGCCAATTCACAGTCCATTTGAACAGAAAGACTCGACCAAGATCAAATGAGCGTCGAATATAAGAGACGGGGTCATGTATGAGAAATGGAAGCCCAACGTAAACCTGTACGGACAAACTTCACGGCAGACTAATTCTCGAAAAAGACTATACCAATTAGAAAGAAAAATAAGAAATTTTCAGATTTAACTTAAGAAAAAAGATTTTTAGTGCCTGGAAAATTGACCCCAGCAAAAACAAGGTCAAACCCTTGACAGTGAAGACAGAACAGCAGCGAGACGGACTGTTCCGGCTGTTTCTCAAAATACAAGATAGAGCACTAGACCGGAAGGATAACAGAATAGAGCAAGGAGAAAAAGTAACATCATTCAGTTTTTGATGGAGAACAAGCAAAACGGGACAAATGACAATCATGAAAGCAAGATGCGCCAAAGAGATGTCTGCCGACGCTTCACTGTCACTCCTGATAGAAAACGCAACCCTACTATAGCCCACTGCTGAGATAATGAACAAGTTAGACTGACCCGAAGTAGAAAAACAGCCATCCCCAAGCACAACCCTGGACGTACACTTCAAGAGTTCGCAGGGACAAACCAATGACGTAGGCGATCGATCAAACCGGTGCGCACAAGACAACACAGAACCGAACGGGCGCGATATCTAGTTGGGAATCATTTATGCAGTTGAATTAGGTAAGACAGCACAACAGTTCAAAAATTCGCCTACTTTATTCGACTTGTAGTACAAGCGAAGAACAGCCAACAAATTCAAGAGATAAAGACCCATAAATATGTACTGTGCTGCACGAATATTCTTGCCAGCATTTGTCAAAGCATGAAGGACACTGTATGTCCACAGATGGCCAGCCGGATATCTTAACATGACCAAGTGTAATAGATTGCAGAGTTGATGACCCTAACAGACCCATATGGAGAGATTTGTTTGTTCCCAAGAAAGGCATCAAACTATTAATTTTTCTCAATGAGGGTAAACAAATAAAAGGCAACACTGTTGAATGCCTCAAGTAACCGCTCATCTTGGTACCCAAAAAGGGTCGTCGAAACCCAAGTCTTCGGCACCCATCCTGATCATATGGTCTGTCAATTCTTTTTCGACCGTGCATCATTCCCTAGACGGGATCCTTAGAAAGAAACGAAACTTCTGTCAACTCACACAACTGGTCCAGTGTCGCCTCCAATTTCAGAATAGTTCCGAATGTTCTTTACCGTGTAGCATTCCACTTGCTGCATGTATGTCGACCAGTCGATTTCCGTATCTGGATTTCCTAACATTTACCTCGATTTTTAAAACGAAAATACTGCTGAAGGACAACTCAACTGACATTTGTCTACACTTGAACTTTACATAATTTTATCTGCTTTGGCAAGAGTAGTGGAAGGACGCAGAACAGGCTTTGCCTCAATTTCGAGGCTGAGGCATTCAACCTCCTTAACAAAAAGGTATGGGGATGGGCATGGCAGATAAAGAGAGAGTGCTGGGTTGTCCTCCAATTATTTGCCAAATTTTGACAATTTTGGCCCAAGATGAGGTCGACTCTGGCGACGGTCGAGGTCACAGCTGGTACCGTCTTTGCTTACGCCATTAAGCTGATAGCTCAGAATCCGATCAGTAGCAGAGCCTGAGCCAAACAAAGCCCTGATCTTCGCAACGTCCTACTTGCACTGCGTGCCAATCTTAAACTAGTAAAGCATATGAGTTGGTAATTGCCGCTGATCTACTTCGATTCTTACTTATTCACCCCTTTGCGCGTATGACCTGCCCCTGAAGCCTGGAGTCCCTTGGCTAGAGATTTAGAAGTTGTATACTACACTGGAATGGAAGAAAATTTAGTTGGCAGGAACCGGGGAAACCTATGGCAGCATAACGCGAAAACGTTTACAGAAAAATACGCCCCAGTAAAAATGCTACCAAATCCATGATGTTCAAGAATATAACCCATATTTCACAGAAAATACTGGGTTGTAAATCAAAACTTTCGCCACAGCGATTATTTTACTGAGAAACCCGCAGGGTGCGGAACATATTCTTCGTGAAATATGGTTTATATTTGGGACATTCGCAACGCGAACTGCGGCGTTAAAACAGCAGTTAACCCACAAAAACCAGTCTCATGGCTGTCCGCAATATAACCCATATTGTTACTTATTCGAGACTGATTTTAACACAGCATTCCTAATCTGCAGCTTTCCTGCACGTTGTTTCGAGTTCCAGTACAAAATTTATGTATGCTGACTCGCCATCGTCCTATCGCGCAGTCGAAGCCATGGACCCGCCTTATACCGGGCGAAAGACGACTTTCGCAGCGCGAAACATTCCCCGCTGCGGGAACCTCAGGTCCACCGCTGATCATCAGTGGACCCGAGATTCCCGCAGCGAAGCATGTTTCGCGCTGCGAAACGCGAAAAGTCGCTTTCTGTCCTAGTGAACCACACCCCCTTATACCTACAATGAGATCCCAATGCACATGTACGCAACTTCAAGCCAAATGAAGAATGGCACGAAATTAACACGAAAACTTCGAAAAAAGTCACTTACATGGGACTTTCTGAATAATGAGGAATGTTATAATAGAGTCTACGAGAAATATAGCAGCGCTCATCAAAATGAATCCTGTGTCGTTTACAGTAAATAACAGCCGTACCACACTGTCTTTGAGAGACATCTGAAAATTGGCCCCGCTTCGCAAAGTAAATCAGGCTGGTAAAACTAGAGTGAGGGAGATAATCGATGTCGCAAACTTTCCATTACATTAAACAATTATCGGCACAATTTATTAGTTGAATAATTTACAATTTGCATACAAGCAAGCACTAGAAATCATAGTAATATAATCAATGAATGCAAGAAAACGTCTAATCACAAGTACCAGTTTTTAGTGAGTTTAACAGCAATAACAACAAGTAACAAGAGAACGCTATCGTCGGTAACGATATCGCTTGAACACGAACCACAACTGGAATACACCGTTCTGAAACTGACACTTGTAGCCATGTTTATGGCTCACTTCCCATTCGCGATTTACACATTTGAAAGCAATGTCCTCATATGGAGGTCCAGCCTGAAATGCGAAATTCAGAAGGAAAGAATGTATTGAAAATAAATAAAATCAGCTACCATCTGAAAAAAATCGGAAGTATAAAATCAAAGAGCAATTCCCAGCAGCTAGAAATTAAAATCACGAAATTACAACAATTGGGGAGTACATCAACAACTTCCACCTCGGGACACTTTTAAAACTCAAAATCGAAGTTTCAAAAACAGTCGATCTATGCAGAACCCAAAGTAAAAACTTTTAAGCAATATTTGGAGCTAGCAAATTGCCCAACACCAGCCAAAATTCACTACAGACTAACTCGTAAATAAATACGAGTGAAGCTTTGAGCGAGGGAGCGATATTACAATGAAAAATGTTAAAATACGAACCTTGAACCGTAACACGGCAAAATCAGGATCGTCGCAAGGGGTGACTGTGAACGAAGGAGTAATTGTCGGATCCAGTAGATCAGGGTAGAAAATCTGCAAATAAAGTAAACAATTACAGCACCGGAAGACCTAACTGCACAAACGCTGACAGAAAGCTTCAAAAATCTTAAGTAAGGTTGATTTCTAAATGTATATGTCACTAAATAGTTTGAAAAAAGTGTCGCACTACGCGATGCATCTATCAAAATCGATTCAAACTCGTATCGCATGAAACAACTTCAGTTGACCTGTTTTTTTTTAGCAAAATGAAAGAATCAATCAAGCCATCCTAAATATTCAAACCTAATGTATTATGGCAACGCTAGTGCAAAATTGGATCATTTCGAGAAGATTTTCAATAACAACGAATGATAGTTCGCACGAAGGCAAACACTACTTACATTGAACTTGTAGCCCTGAACGATTTTCGGCGGCGGATTGTCCATGTCATAATGTGTCTGGTTGTACTTGTTCCAATCGAATCCTGTCTGGACCCGATTCAAGTACGTGGGCTTGCGAGGGCGGTATTTGTCCGACCATAGGTGTGACTACAATGAACAGCTATTTTGAGCGAACAACAAATGTAAATCATCTATGAGGTATAGACGCATTTCCATTCATTAAAAGTAACGCAGCTGGAATGCAAATGTAATTACCTGAGCTTCCAAAGGTTGTTCAACAGAGAACGTTGCCTCATCGCTTTCCATGCCCTTCCGAGCGATTGCCAACATTTCCGCCTCCAACTTCTTGAAAATCACAAAATCAAGAGAGCAAATAAACAACTAATGCCTTTTTAGTACACATACAGAAACCTCACTATTCGTACTGTTTTTGAGAAAAAAAAACTAAAATACCGTTGCTCCAGCTGGCTGCTTTTTGTTTTGCTGTCTTCGTTGAAGCATATCTTTCATGTCAGCCTCCTCGTCCAGAATTTCAATACCTGGAATACTGCACGATCAAAACCTGAGCCTAATTCTCGATGCGCTTCACTTTCAATCAAACACACCTGGCATAGTGTCTTTCATAGACTGATACGTCGGACTATAACCACCACGCTCATAAGAGTTCCAATGTTGCAGATTCCAATTGTTCATGAGACAGCTGTCTGAAAAAAAACCATATTCGATAAGAACAAATCTTGCAACCTACATTCCAACAGACATACTTCCATCGCATTTCTTTTTGCTCATCGTCGAGATCTGGGGCCTCTAGCTCGTCAAGGTCAATCTTTCGTTGGACTTTTCTCTCTAGATCCTCCTTCTTCGTTGTCAGAAAGTGCACGCTTCTAGAATGGACACCTTTTGAGCAACTATACAGCCATACAGAAAAAAAAACTTGCTGTGTCAGGGTATTTTTCAAAGCTAACTCACCACTTTGGCTAAAGGACGTCCAAGCGTTTGCGGCTCAATTTTGCCCACTTCTTTCATCTGCTCTTCACGAATCTTGGCTAGTTTCAGCCGAAGCATTTTCTGGTGCAACTCCTTCAAACGCGTCTTTGCCACATATACTTTCAAATGAACTGGAAAGCAAAAAATATGCTCAAAGATATAAAATATTCAAGATACAAGATATAATGCAGAACCATTTGAGCACTATACGAACAACTTCTGCAACTCTATCTAGAGGTCCACTCTACATAAGCTATCATCAACTACACGATGAACGCTTAGGAGCCGC